CTCAGGTAACAAGTTGTTTTACAATGTTTACAGTTAAAAATATGTTTAATTTCATGTATCACAATAAGTAACTCATAAATTAAGTTAAGGTTAAGTGACTGTCTTGATGCAGTGTTAGGTCAGGTCAATTTAAAAATTAATTTTTAAAGATTAATATTTGTTAGTTATATATCAGTGGGCAGGCAGGTGATGACGGAGGGAGGAAAGAAAGCTGCAGCATCTCCTGGGAAACTAGTTTGAGAAAGGCAGGTTTTGTCGATTTGAAGGAATTTACATGGCCTGGGAGTAGTGAGCAGGGGCAGAGAGGAACTGAGGAGCAGACTGTGTTAATAGCAGCATGACAATTTGTGCCTATAAAATATGTTATTAGTTGTTAATTACTTAACTATTTACCATATCTTGAATGTGTTTTTCAGCTGCTAATATAAGTACAGAGATGCTGTCCAGCCTCTCTAAGGAGGATTTGCGAGATCTCTTTCCGCGGCCTGAGCACTTCCTCAGAAGGTGAACCATTTGGAGGCTTACTCATGAGCAAAATGAGGTAATGTAGGTTTGACATTTGGTCTAACAATGCAGTATTTTCTTTTATTTAAGAAGTATTTCCTGGCCATCATACATTTATCTAAAGATAATTTTGGGTGGTGTTTTTGCCTTTCAGTTGTTACTGAATAAAATGTACTTCATATCTTAAGCAGGGTCAAGAATCAGACCCGTGCAGACCTGGCACCTGCTCTGAGACCTGTGATTTCAACTCCAGCCCCCTCTCCTCTCAACCCACACACCACTCTCCATCTCCTGACCCTTCTCCCAACGTAAGAGACCAACATAGGACCGTACAGCTTGTCAGTCCACAGTATGTCATATACACAGACACGGAGTTGGAGCAATCAAGAAGCACCTTTTTTGAAAAACAGCGTGCTGGACAAGAAGGAGAGCATATCCTTTTCAAAGATCTTCGCTGTCGATTAATCAGAAATACAGTAACAAGCATGATTTCGATTAAGAGAGCAGCAGGGGATGGCTTCCAGTACCCATGCACCCGTGAACTCATAGTAATGGCGAAGCGTCTCATAGAGTACTACCCAATGCTGCGGGACAAATCTGCAGCCAGTGGAGCTGAGTGGGTAAGTCACGAGTCAGGTGTTCATTACATTTCCAAACACGGTACAGTTAAAGCCAAGGAGCAAACATCTGACACTCAGAATAGGGGGAATGTGCTTCATCCAGATTAATACGCAACGTGTCTGTTTGTATGGTTTAATTTCTGGATCTGATTTAGTTTCATGTAATTAGTAACACAAACAATTTGTTGTCTGTCTTGTTAGGAACCTGTGAAGAAGCAGCTTTTGAAAAGGCTTCAGAATGTGACAACCCCCAAAAAGAAACAGGGAGCGACCCCTTCAAGAAAAAGGCCACGAAGCCTTAGTTTTCAGAGCAGCCAGGAGACGTCTACTGATGAGACTGATGAGTCCACTTCCTCAACTTTGATCTTGGGGAGATCATCACATTCTAGATGCAGTACCTCAGAGGCTGAAGAGTTGGATGGTAAGTACAGAAATTCCCATAGTAGATAGTATTTATGTATAAATGTAGCTTCTGCTGCAACTCTAAAGAATAGACTAGAAACAAAGTGACAGTTTAGACTGTTTCCTATAAAACAACAGGTTGCAATTGGGGGATTGATGTACATATCTGTCTTTAAGTTCAACAATATCATCTTAGAGGGGAAAAATACTCACTGCGGGAATATGTGTAATAATACCTTAGACAATGCCCTTTTTTTTTTCTTTTTTTTTTTTTTGCATTTCTGCAAATATTTCACAATAAACGTTTTGTTAGGAAATGAAATGCTAGAAGATGTTTAATTTAAAACATACAGAAAGTTTTCAGTTTGTATTAACGGTGCTGTGTTTGGAAAGGTGGTGAATACCTGACTAGTGACTTACACATTCACCTCCAGTGGTTGCATATCTTTCCCACATAATGCTGTAATAAAACTTTACCAGGAACTACATCAGGAACTACTGAGAGCCTACAGAATCAGGCCAGACATTATAAAACTCTACAGGAGATGTACAAGACCAAGGCCAGGCCCAACAAGAAGGATGTTTCCCAGCTCATGGACCTTGAATTCCAAGCAAGACGGGCCTTCATTGACTCTGATGCCATTAAGGAGCAGGACCGGCCTTCCAAGATACTTCAAGCTTATCCCTGCTTCAGAGAACTAGATCATGTAAGAAAATGTATTGATTTTAAGTAGGCCTATGCCTAGTTAGTACCCGATTGAATATCAAATGGGATATGGTGTGGGAATATGGAATCAGATGGGTCCCAGTATTAAGAGTATAACAGCAAGTTTGAATAGTAACACATCTGTAGTTCTAAGTGTAAACATGCATTCAAAATCAGAAGTATAGTGATTTTAAATGTGTGTCTTTTAGATCAGTTTTGTTTATTGGACATGATGAGAGAGGGGACCCACGTTCAACATATCTGCAAAATGTCAAGGATAATGCAACAAACTACAGAACATTCAATACCCAAGGATGTACCATCACAAATTTACCTTGTGCCTGGATGCATGTCTTTACATATCCTCATTTTGTAATGTATGCCACGTGTTAACAGATTATTTTATCATTGTTAAATTCTAGTTTTTCTTATTTCATCTACTTTATACATTCTGCTTCACCTTATAATCATTTACCTATAGACATCCAATTATTAAATATATAGAGAGAGCATCTTTTCACTGATGCGTCTATTGTTAGCTGCCAGGTGAGGAAATCAAGCATGTGTCCCAACATACAGAATAACACACTGTCATACATAATGCCACAGTAGTACATCTAGAACTTGATGGAATTTTTTTCATTATGGAAACTTTATACTTTAACTGTATCTATATTTAGTTCATTTACTTATGTATTTACAGCTAATATGTACCTAAGTACAATTTTTAACAGATTTAGTCATTTTATATATTTTCATATTATTAGTTTTTGATTTTCTGATCTGATCAGATTTCTCTGAGAAATCATGTCCACAGCAACAATCCGACGATCGCATCGCCTTTGCGATTTCTATGTGGCAGCTGTTTGAAAACCTCTGTGGTTAAAGCATTTCTCTGTGCTACAGTGAGATTAAAGCCATGATAAAACAGATGCTTCCCTCTGTCAGAATAAAATAATGAGACATGACTTAAAGGTCTGTCATGACTTGTGTAGAAACGATTTGATTTGGTGGTCCTTCTTGCGCCTGGTTTGGCTACCGGGGCTGCTCCTCTGGGCCCATTCTCTGCTGATTTTTCTGTCTCGCTCTTTCTCAGGGTTTGACAGTTTCCTCAGCAGCTCTACACCAAAAGAGTTGACAAACCATTTATTATGTACTGCTGTATATTTAGTGTTATGATTGTTTTTTTTTTATCCTACACATGGTTTTGACCATTGACTGTTCATGGGATTGACCAACAGGAGGCCTCAGAGAGCCATTTGAAGTCTGTTGGTCAGTCAGAAACAATTCAAGATTTTTCCTCTGGTGAGGGTTGTATTTACCTGCTAACTCAGGATGACTTTGACTATAGTTGTTTAGGAGAGACACATATTTTCGACCTCCAGTATCATCATCTGCTGAAGAGAAGTAAAGTCATTAACTTTCAGCTGTATTAAAACAGCTGGACCAGCTAAGAGTTTCCCACAAAACAAAATTAAATATACCTTTTGTTACTGTAGAATACTTGAATGAGCAGCAAAATCAAGAGTTTAAACTACTGTCATCCAGAATCAACACAATATACTTCAGTAAACCTTTTATAATATCATGACCTATGGAGAATCATACTTTGACATCCTCTTTCCAAAGTTATAATTATGATTTTAACACAATGATCATTTTGTCAGTCAAACATTAATGGATACGTCTGAAACATGTATGACAAACAAACATATATTTGTATTATCACTTATTATTTTCAAATCTTAGATATCTGAACTTGGAGTCAAACTGTCCAGGCAAGAGTTTGTTAACTACATGAGACTTCCTCTCTGTATTATTTCTGGCATTTGTTCATTTGAAGTTCTGCTGATAGTAGATGGACTCACGGCAGACTTGTAGGAGGACGTAGTACTGTCTCTCTACCAGCACACTGCTGGCTAGAGCCTCACTGTACTGCATTGCCTCCAGGTTCATCACTGTACCACTGCTGTCCACCAGGTCCACACACTCTACAAAAAGAGTTCTACAGTTTTTATGTTTGTTTTTTAACATAAGAAACCAAAAAGGACATATGAATGTCCGTCAGCAGATGAGAAGTTTTAAAAAAACCTCTCAGACGATCCTCTCAAAGCACTTCATAATTACTCTGACACCAGTAATCATGAAGTGTTTTGAGAGGATCGTTCTAAAGCACATCAAGGATGTTATCCCAGTTGGTCTGGACATCCACCAGTTTGCCTACAGAGAGAACCGATCAACAGAGGATGCTGTCTCAATAGCATTACACACAGCCCTGTCCCACCTGGGGCATCCTAACACTTATGTCAGGATGCTATTTGTTGACTTCAGTTAGTCCTTTAACACTGTAATCCCAGAGAAACTGGTACTGAAACTGCACAATATGGGAATGCCTGCAATGAAGTGTCTTTGGATTAAAGACTTCCTAACTAACAGGGCCTCAAGTGGTGAGAATCGGAAGCTGTACATCATCCACACTGGTCCTGAACACAGGCACACCACAGGGCTGTGTGCTCCGCCCAGTTCTCTTCACTCTGTTTACCCATGACTGTGATGCCATTCACCCCACAAACACAGTAGTGAAGTTTGCAGACGACACCACCGTAGTGGGTCTCATCTCAGACAATGATGAGACTCACACTACAGAGGAGATCCAGCACCTGACAAAGTGGTGTTCAGAGAACAATCTTGTCCTGAACACCAGCAAGACTAAAGAGGTCATTGTGGATTATAGGAGGTCCAAGAAGACAATGTATGCTCCTCTTCTCATACATGGGGAGGTGGTGGAGCAAGTGGATAACATCAAGTTCCTGGGCATCCACATCACATCTGACCTGACCTGGTCTCTGAAAACACAAGTAAATGTTTTACATTTCTTCCTCTTGACCCAGATGGTGAGAACAGCTCAGGGCATCGTAGGAAATCCTCTTCTGGATCTGGACTCACTATACACTGACCGGATCCAGAGGAGGGCCGGACGGATTGCTGCAGACCCCACCCACCCAGGCAACAGTCTGTTTGTGCCTCTTCCCTCCAGGAAAAGGTACAGGAATATAAAGACTAAAACAAACAGACTGAGACACAGCTTCTTCCCCAGAGCTGTGAAATCAATCACCCCCCTAACCCCCAGTCACACACACAACCTCCCCCCTACGGACAGACACACACCCATGCTCACACCTCCTCCTAAAGACTGAGATTTGCAATGAGCTGCACCTTATAATGTCACTACACTCTTTTGCTGCTAACATGCTGTTGACCTGATTAAGTCCTACACATTTTCATTTTTATCTGTTCATATTTTTATATTGACTTGTACAATTTTTGTGTTATTTATGTAAATAATGTGTCTTTTATGCCGAGAGCTGCTGGAAGAAATTTCATTGTGCTATGCATAATGACAATAAAGATTCTTGACTTGACTTCTTGAGTCATACATGTTTATTTAAGTTATGAATGCTACAATGATTTTCTGATACAGTCTAAAAAATGTGGGAGTTGGTGTTTCATGTGGATTGTATTAGCAGTACATCACTGATCTTTTTGATGAAGAGCTATTATTTTTATTTATTAAGCACAGCTACCGTAGCTAAAACTAAGTCTGTCTAACAGTCCTACAATAAATCCTCCTTCACAAAGGTGATAATATTCAGTTTGTGTTGAAACTATTTTAGAGAGGCGCTTCTTCAACTCTATGACCATTTAGAGGCTGTAGTTCATGCTGTTGTTGTATCGTACCACATTATACTGACAGGTGTTGCTATTATTTATTGTGATATACCTGGGTTGGTTCTAACATTATAAACACAGCATGAGACTACATTGGATTTATCTATCTGTATCTCTAAACTGTGATATATGTATAGATATAGAGATGAATATTAATTAGAAGTAGAAATAATAATTGCTAACAATGCTGCAGTACTTTTCCAACACCAAGTAAGTGTCAGGTTTGCCCGGCTGCACCCGCCTCTCTCACCTCCTTCACTGTTGTTTGTTGACACCCGGTTACTCAGTTTATCTTCACCTGTCTGTTTCTTGCCATTTCACTGCACTGTACATAAATAAATCACTGCTTGCACTGAAGTCAACTATCTGGGTCCGCCATTCTTTTTGCTCGCTCACTTCCCGTGTGCGAGCAAACCTAACAGTAAGCCCCAAGAACGTTCACCTACAAGTAATGGCAGCCTATCTCTAGCCTGAGAGGTGTAACTCAGGGCAAAACAAGGCTGCTGTTTTTCCTTCAGCTTATTGCTATGAGCACATGCTAATAACTGGGAGACTCAGATGAGTGTATCAACATTTTCAACAGCTCAGATCTTGTATGCTGGTGGCTGGTCTGAAAGAGCACAAGGTTCAATGAAACACAAAGTGAAGCCCGAAACAACAGAAGTAAAAACTAAGATTTTGAAAAGCGAGGGGGACATTACACCCCGCAACCCACTAAAATGGTTACCTTTTGTGTCCATACCACAGCGCTCCTTTAAATGATGGATGAAGTTTATAAGCTTACAGTTGAGATTGAGCATCTCCATCCTGCTGTCTGTCAAGACATTGAGAATATTACAGTTCACATAAAATCTTGCACTTCGGTTATTTCATAATCCAGATATTATTCACCCTGCACTCTAGTTCACTACCACACTAAATGTCTGTGTGCTAAAGCACAGCAACAATTTACCCCAGTATGTAATATATACTGGAAAGCCTTCCAGTACATAAAAACAAAAACAGGTTAAATTCTGTTTTACATTAAAAACAGATAAAATTGTTTTGTTTTTTTTTTCTACTTAAAAAGCATAGAGAAAGAAATATATCTGGGAACTTTACCTCCAAACAGGATAGTGACAAACATGTTCTGGTCCTTAGCTCCCCTGGTACTGGTGCTACCCCTAGTTTAAAGCATCTCTTTATTCCCAGTAAAAGGGCAGTAACAAGTCTGGACTGGGCACAAAATGCAACAACAGACTGTTAAATCAGTCTTGTTGTCCACACCTTTTGACAAAGACAGAGGGACAGGCTGCACAAACTGGCCAATGCACAGTGGGTAAATACACATTCTCCCTTGGCACCCTCCTCTTCTTTTCCTCCTTTTAAAAGCTGAAATCCTTTAAATGAGGGGACAAGGGAATGCTGTTGCTTGTTTCCATGGAGTCTCTCACTGACAGACCAACACTGTGGACTTTATAGCTACTTGTGTGATGTTAAGACTGACTGAAAAAGAGGTGCTATTGTTTCCACCAACGATTGGAACTAATAAGCTGAATGACCCGAGCCATCACAGTTCTGCTTACTGAATCGCCCCTGAAGGAAACTTTTGTCCCAGTTTTACTTTTGATTCTGGAGGTAAGGGAGGCAGTCCCCAGCTAAAATTCAATTGTAAAGAAAAACTGTTCCCACTACACAACTTACTTTAAAATCACTATTATCTCTTCAACCACAATGTACAGTTCTATATTACAGTGCAAAATCATAAGCAAAAAGATTCCTACATAGTTACATGGAACCCAGCCTGTGCTAGTAATGTGGAGTTTGTTGGCCACATGGGGGCAGCACAAACTGTAAAAACTACACGGACAGAATCTTACCAAGTCCTGTGAGGAATAACGGCCGTCTTTAATAGTAAATCAGTTAGCCAGTTATCTTAGCTTAGCATAAAGAAAACAGAGGAAATCAGCTAGTTTGGTTTGAAGATACAAAAAAAAGCATAATAATGACCAGAACTTTTTTAGTAATAGCCAGGCTAGCTGTTCTCCTCTGTGGCCAGTCTTTATGCTAAGGTAAGATAACTTCTATTGGCTAACATACAGGCATAATCATGGCAAGAATATTTCCCAAAATGTATAACTATTCTTTTGATATAAATATATTTATTAAAGCAGCTTTAACACGAAATGTTCCCTTTAAGTCCCCTTTGGAGCTGTAATAGCCTGAAAATGTGAGACATAACCTGGATATGACCCAGCTGCGGAGACGAGATGCTGGAAAGCAATAAAAGCCAAAAAAGGAGAATCAAAACAGCTTAACTCACCATTTCGCAGAAACAAATCTCTGACTCAATTCTATGGACTTAACAGATCACATATAAAACATGACAGTGTCTGGTGAAAGCTGTTCCTACAGCTTATGGTCAGTGCTTACCGCAAATACAGTAAATACAGTGAAAATGTAAAAGGGTTTATTTAAAGGCAGGACTTTGTGCCAAGATGGTAGCTGCACTGGACTATGGATGAATTCACCAGGAAACAAACAAAAACAGAACTTCTTCCACCATGAATTTGATTTAAATCAAAAATGTAATCACTGACAAATAATTATCCATCAGTCATCAATCTATTTCAAAAGTCAACATTTACATGAATAAATAATAAGCACACAGTCAAGTCACATTGTCTCAATGAGCAAACAAAAATACAAGGTTACGTCTCAGCACTGCATTACCAGCTTTGGGGCTGATGTTTTACGTGGCTGTTGACACAAACATGAACAAACCCATCACTGGTGAAAGTACTGTCCTTCATTTTTAAGAAACAGCATGGGGAGCAAAACAAAATCAGAACTCATTCATTTGTGCTGGATTATCCATACTATAAATCAGTGCCTAAAAGCTGAAATTACATTGCGACAGAAAGAAGTAGGCTGAAAATGAATCCTGTTTAACTTTACAGTTGAGTATTGCTTTGCAGGTGGGTCACACTGTCTCTGCACCTTGCAGGTGTGCATAATGGAGTGCATCTGTCGTGACTCGTGATTCATGGGGAAGTCCATCAGAGAAAGTACAAGACTCCAACACACACCATGGATATTTAGACATGAAATCTTCTTTATTAATTTCCCACTGCAAGCAACGCGTTTCGCATTGCAGCTTCTTCAGGCTCGCTCATCTCGTCATCTGTGACAGGTGTGTGTTTTAAAGGTTTTCATGAGTCAATGGCTACTGGTCAGTGGCAGTCACATGGCATACATCAGTCATTTCAAATACAGTTAAAAAAACAATATAAAAGTTCATAATAACAATCAACATCATACAAAAGAAGATCTAAAATAGTTACAATCATTTTGTGTTACTCAATGGAAAAAAAACAATATATAGAATAGATGGATGGATCAGCCCAAAGTTAATACATTACCAACATCATTCATACGTGTTCCACCTGCTACGTCTGAGCTAAACTCTATATCACAGGAATGGGTTCAGATCCAACACTTTATGTAAGCCACGGGGTTCTACAGTGTTTAACGTATGTATCCAATATGCTTCTCTTTGCAGCAGTTGTTTGACTGCGTCGCCCCCTCTACATATATGGGTGGAAGCTGATCCATGTTTTTAATCCAGGTAGTGTCTGGCAATAGTGTAATCTACATTTACGTTCCTAAGAGCTAGTTTGTGTTCAGCTATTCTTAACTTAAGGTGACCTTTGGTTTGGTCAACATATGCAAGCCCATACAGACATTTATAAGCCCACATGCCCACAAGCATTTATAAGTCCTTTTATCTCATATTTTTCACCTGTATGTAGGTGATACAATACTTTTGTACTGAATCTTTTGAACAAGTTGGACAATGACAACATATATATTTTCCACGAATTTTATATGAAAGCCAAATGGATTTTTTAGAGAGTGCTGTATATGCCCACTGAGTCATGAGAACCGATAAAACACACGCCTGCCACAGATGATGAAATGGGTAAGCCTGAAGAAGCTGTAATGTGAAATCTGTTGCTCGCATTCTTGTGCAGAATTTAATAACGATTTTCTTCTAGACATCCATGGTGTGCGAGGGAGTCTGATATTTTTGTTATATTTGAGAGTCCTGTTTCCCTTTGGATGGATGAGCAGTCTATGCTGTTTCTGGCTGTGCACAGGATTATCACCTTACTTCCATCAGAGAAAGTGATTATATCCGTGTCCCTGAAACATGAAAAACTCTATGAATAATTAAAAATGTTACTGTTTTTAGTCAATGGCCCATGGAGGTCTGAAATGACAGGCTGAAATTGTCTCACACACTGTGGTGTGTTCCTTCAATCTGATGTTAAACAAAGAGGGACATTCAATGCTTTTTCTATTCATAATGTTTTAAGAAAGTGAACGGTGCAGACTGTTGCTCTCCATACTGGCTGAGCTTTGGTCAGAGTGCAGAACTCTTAACCATTTTCACAGAAAAGCACAAGTGTCTGCACCTTCAAGAGAGAACTGTCGGTGGGACTGTCATGTTAAAGCTATTTGAGTCACTTCTGTTACATTTTAAATTTCAAAAAAAATCTCTTTGTTTAAATAGTGGAGACAGTTTGACATGGAGAGGAGATTTAAGTCCATTATCTGCTCCCATTTCCATTGTAAAATCTAGACTTGTCCCGATCTCTCTTAGCGTTTCTGCTGAGCTGACATTTAAATTTAGTGTGAGCCTCCAACATTCCTCCTGCATCAGGACGCTGAAGCAGTTCTTCCTGTTCTGCTCGTTGAACAGAGGTGCAGCTTGGCCAGAGCCCACTTCTGGTACAGTGCAGTCATGTTACTGCTCCACATACTGTAGATGACCCACCGGTATACAAGTTTATCTGAGGGCCTGCAGCGGACACGGCCCCATTTTAGGACAGCGGGACATGACGACTGACAGCGGGCGGTGTGACCCCGCCATCAGACCACCCCCCACTGGAGAGATATGAGTAGGGCAGGGGCAGGGGGGCTCACCACCACCCTCCCCTGAGGTCACCTGACTTGAGTCTGATGGAGTCAGTGATGCTGTGGTGAATGGAGGTGCGCTTACTGCTGCCACTCTCAAACCGCTCCTGCTTGCCCAGGATGTGCCGTCTGATGATCTTACGAAAGGTTTGTCGGAACTCCCGGATGCGGTAGGCGTAGATGAAGGGGTTGATCACAGAGTTTGCATGGGACAGAATAATAGCCACATACATGACCCAGAGCGGAGGACGGTCACACTGAGGACAGAAGAGGGTGAAGCAGTTGATAATGTGTAAAGGAAGCCAGCAGACTGCAAAGAGCCCAACTATGATGGCCAGAGACTTGGCAGCCTGGATCTCCTTCTGCATCGTGGAGCGTGACTTGTCGCCATGAACCGCTTTCACCTCGATGAGCTTGAGCTGGTGGCGAGCCGCCATGAAGATACACAGGTAGATGGCCAGCATCAGCAGCAGAGGAATCAGTACACAGGCAAAAAAGTTGAAGTAGACCATATACTTCATGTCCACCACCGCCTCAAACAGGCACTTCATCAGGCCAGGGGGGCAGGTGCTGTTGGCACTTTCGGGCGACTTGTGCCAGCCCATCATAGGGGTCAGACCGATGCCGATTGATAAAACCCAGCAGATGGCGATGATGCTTCGTGCCCGCTCACTTGTCACCAAACTGTTGTACCTGCAGAAGGAGATGATAGAAACATGTAGCAGAGCAGCACCTCTGTCTGTCAAGCTCAAAAGCCTGAGAGGTTTAGAGGTTTGTCTCCCAAAAGGACCCCACTAAAACTGTCAGTAGTCTTTTTGTGACAGTTGTAGGTATTATGTTATATACAAAGCTGAATGCTAAATTAATCATCTTTAGTATACAGTGTTAAGAAGTGCCCCTTGACTTATCATTTTCTCATTTGATTGCTGTGTGGATGCACATCTGATCTCAAACTAAAAGAGAAAGGATAAACAACAAAGTCTTTCAGGATTCCTCAAAGGAAGAATCTATTTTGAGTGGGCCTGTAGTGCAGTGTGGGAGAGCAGCTGAGATATCTGCCTTGTTTCTATCACATTCTAGAAATGTTAAAGTCCAAAGGTTACTGCTACAAAAACAAGCCCCCTCCCCACCAGGGCTGCAAAGAACTGCGCAGAGAACCTCTCATGTACCGTCGGCAGAAGGAGAAGGAGGAGGAGGAGGAGGGTGTGTGAAAACAAATTTGTGACCTGAAAACAGGAAGACTGGGTTTGATGCGGCTCTAAGGTCAAATAATTTAGTGTGCTGAGTTCACAGAGTGAACTACAGCGTCACTGCTGGTCAGTGTGTCGAGGTGACAGGTAAATGTCTGGAGACATGTCAGCCCTGGCAAATCTGAATGCTAAATCTTAGATGACACTCAACAAATTACAGTACAGTATGACTTAAATCTGACTTAATAGTCAGATTTCCCAGGGGGTTAGGGGCTTACACAACCTGCATAACCAATTAGAGTAATATTCATTTGATTACTCCAAGGGGACATGGCCTCGTGAGAGACGCCATTTCCTAACACATTTATTCAGCCAAGACTTTCTGGGTCAAATGTTATGTTTTCACCAACAGAAAGGAAATACTAAGTTCTAATGTGAGACTTGCCTGGGACTAAGAAACAGAGAAAATAAAGAAGAAGAAATGTGCCGAAGTTATGGACCATTTTGAATATACTCACTCAGGTTAACATATGCTTTTTAGGTTCTTACTTTTCCCCCCAAAACAAGTCTGTCGTCCATGCCTCAACATTGTGCCACCACATTGTAATACAACAGCATTAATACATAGTTTATAAGTAGGAACTCGTTTTCTTATTAATGCCTAATAAATCATTTTACTAATGGTTGATATAGCCTGAAACTACTCAGGACAACTTTTTAACTTTGGGGTTGCCAGGTTGTGAATAACCCCACTGATGCTTTGTAACCTTTGAATTTGGTATTAGTGCACTTACTGATGCTTTTAAACCATTAATAAAAGTTTTCCAATATGTGTTCCAGTCTGTAGCTGTTAATGTTAATAAATCAGTAATCCATCACATCCGCAGTTGTCCATGTTAATAAGTGAATTTTAGTCCAAGGCAGTGAGGGATTTTTCGCACTCTTGCAAAGCAGTTATTAACATATTATAATGGATCTATAAAGTATTAATAAATACTGTATTACCCATTAACAAAGCCACCAGAGTTTATAATTTATAAACTGTATATAAATGGTGTTTCTGTTTCTCTCTAACTGATAACTAACTATTGTAGTGTCCCCTGGGTCACTGACCTGAGTGGAAGCTTGATAGCGATGTAGCGGTCTATAGCAATAGCCAGCAGGCTGAAGATGGAGTTTTGTGTGAGAACCAGCACGAAGCAGGCGATGAACAGGCAGCCATAGAAGTTGGAGCAGAAGCCGGTGCTGATGACGATGGCGAAGGGAATGGCCATGACCCCCACAGCGATGTCAGCCACCGCCAGTGACACCACAAAGAAGTTGGTGATGGTCTGCAGGTTGCTGTTGAGACACACGGCCCAGCAGACCAGGACATTGCCCAGCACGGAGAACACGGCGATCAGCACCTCCAGGACAATGTAGAGGACAGTGGCGGTGGGGTCGTCCGGCATGGTGACACAAACGGCGAGGTCACTGAAGAGGAGAGAGGAGACCTCACCTCAAAGACCATAGCTGCAGCCTGACTACTGAGCTCAGCTTCCCCACATCTAACAACTCCAGAAATGTCCACCGGGTTCTCCAAAGCAGCCAAGCCAAGTCTGTCACGCCTGCTCAGCTCAAACAGCCGATGAAGAGGTTTTCTCAGCAGCAGAAGAATCTATCATTGCTCCTATGTGCACACACAGGACACAGCTGCCTCCATTCTCTCCTGGTACCAAGCACGTCTGCTGTCCTCTCCCCTCAGATCCTCCCCCTCAGCATTTTTTTTTCCCATGAACTGCTGGAGGAGCTGAGATGATGCCAAAACGCACATCACTGGAACATCACATCACTGGAGATAAAGAGGTGCAGAAGTGAAAAAGAGGAAATGTTTCTAAAGTAAAGGAAGTGAACTACAACAGACACACAGAGCAGGACTGTACAAGGCTGTGCTCTTTCTAAGAAGCTACAATTTCCTCCCATGTAACTTCTAGACTGTATATAAGGGGTGATACACTACAACTGAATGGGCCCCTCTTCATCCTGAGGAGGAGCAGTGGAAGAGCAGTTTGAATAGACTTCATCTGTGTCTGCTGCACATGTGCTGAAGCCCCCAACCACTTTTAGGTGTTGCCTTGACTTTCGCCCCTCAGCCAGCCGCTTACTGTGACCAAAAGCATCTTATATAAATGTGAAATGTTCTGTCAAAGTTGACAGTTTATTCACAAAATGTCCCTTTTCAGACGCATCAGCAAACCAAAGTGAAGAACCCCTCAAAATGCCTGTCAGGGCTACTGAGGTTCTACAGAAATGATCCTCATGAGTTGGTGGAGAGCAAAAGGAAGCTGATATTGGACTTAGATTTGCAAAGTGCTCTGAAACATCAACGCCAAATGAATGCTAACAATGCTAAGTATCTGTAAGATATCAAAATTAACTTAGAATACAATTATATGTTAATGGTATGCTTACAGCTTATTCCCACTGCCCACAGGTTTTACAGTACAAGTTATGCATCACACTTCTTTTGACTTAAATTCACTCACATTTGATCCTAGTCTGTCTGTGGCTTTTTTTTTACAGAGACACGCCTTCTGAGACATGTTTCCAAAATGGTTGTATCACAGACACGCCTTTTGAGACATGTTTCCAAAATGGTTGTATCACAGATCCTGAATCATGATGAACAATATCTGAAGCAATACATATGTGTGTCACAATAGGATAGTTGTACTGTAGCTCACCAGTTGCCACTTATGTAAATGTTACTAGATACTTGTAGCATAGAACTTTGTCACTGCGGGGACATTTTTAAGCACAATTCTTAGGGGTTTGATAAATATGGCCCCTTGTCTACTCTCAATTAATGAACCCCACTATAGTCAGATTCCTTGATATCAGTGAGCCATCGGCCCTCAAAGACTTAGCAAACATTAATCTGCTGTTTTTGTGGTGCTGAATTCTCTCAGAGGAAATATTTCTAGAGGTTACGTCGAGTTTTAGGATAAAACAGCTGTGCTGGAACACAGAGGTCTTTTCCCTCCCAGGCAGGGTTTTCCCTTTGGGTTGGAGGAGACCTTTTTATTAATACCAAAGACTTGTTATTTTAAGAACGATTGCTATCAGGACATTTTTTGATCATACTCTTTGACTTACAAATGAAGTTTTTGTTGGTCTCTTTCCTGTGAGGCCAGACAATTTATTTGTCTTGATGTCAGAGACGTCGGTGTTACACTGCTGTGTATATGTTTTATGCAGTAGCGGCGCATCTAATACAAAAATCCCAGAGGAGAGTAAAGGAAATCATGAATCTCTGAAACCCACAGCAATGGACCCTACAATAACAAGCTGTCGTGAGATTGGATTAAGAAACATGTCAGAGAGACTCCAGAGATAAACAGTGAAAGAAGGGAAAGTGAGATGCAGGGTCTGGTTCACATTCAACACTTCAAAGCATGAATTTTGCTCATAAATTAAAAGCTAAACATAGAGTATCTTTGTATTTAGATACATGGTTGAGATGTTTTGTGCAGTCAGTAACTGAATTAAGGATTAAAATATTTACTTGTCTATTAACGTTGGACCTTGCTAAAACATACCAAGACAACAACATACCCCCTCATTGCACTCCGCCAGCTGTGCACAGGAAGCACAGGAGGAACAAACATCAAACATGCAGCTTCCTGACGACACACACAGTCACTCTGCAGTGCTGATAAGTGTTTAATGTGACAGCATGGCTGTAGGCAGAGGCTTTACACCGCAAGGGTCTTGTGCAGTGTCCTTGAGCCTAACACTGATGACACCAGCAGCTCCAGGAGAGTCTGCACCAAGTAATGGAGTATAGCATCATAAATGATGGGCTACATGATCCAGGTGACCCTGTCCATATAGTTGTACTTGGATCCAGGGTCAAAATAACACACTGAAGGCCCTGGAGCAAAAAGCAGTTGCAGCCCCCTAAATGTCTCCCTGTGTGTGGCAATTTACTTAAAAATGTATTTAGGAATATGCACTAGGAATGGGGTAATACATCAAAATTCAATATATCATAATACAGAATTGTCACATTATGTATTGTTTGTCTAGTGATACATATTGTGTGGCCTCCATACACCAGTGGCTTCATATGTTTTGTAAATAAGATGGCCTAACAGAACTAAGTCAATATATTTGGCTAGAATACTAGAAAAGGGAAAAATAGAGGAATAAAGCACAAGTATGATGCAGCTAGTCATACATTGTCACTGAATTTGTAATCGTATCGTGACTGAATCGAATTGTACACACCCATCCCTACTATGCACCAGTTACATTTTGTGGTGACTAAAAAGTTAACTTTTGTCACTTTTTCCACTGTTATGGTATTTTTGTCAGTGCGCTGGCATTTTTCCTTTATCACGGGACATTCCAAAGACACTTGATCGGCTGAACCATTGCACACTTAGATGAGACTTCCTTTTCTGTGAGCACACTCTGGACTTGCTTTGGACCGGCTTTATCCCTGGTTGATTGAAACCTGTCTAAACCTGAAACTGACTCCGTCTTCCAAGTTTTCTGTGTAAATTAATTGCAAGTTGAACACCCAATTAATCCTGAAATAAGGCTGTATTACCAAGGTTTATTACATGTCAAATGATATATTTTTATAAACTGCATTTTATTTATACAAAGTGCATAAATACAATGTGAAGTCACTATTGCAGAACTAGTTATTCAGTAAGGGCCCAACTTTTCCCCCAGGGACCCTTAAAAAGCTTGACTGGCTCACGTGCTATAACCGAGGACCTACAACAAGTTTGATTTTATCTGAACATGAGCAGTGCACATGCTTTAAGACTAAAGTAGAAAAGCACCTTTAATTCTAACACTAGGTAAAGGTACATTACAACCAAAACCCCCATCCCAGGACACGGACTTGATCAACTCACCCTTAAGAACTACGTGAGGCATGAACCGCCTGGGGACGATCACAGTTGTGAACTTTGCTCAGGCTGAGTCCTGCTCGATTGTGTTCTCACAGCTGAGGAAACGTAGGGTCTGTGTTCACTAACCACGTTCCTCACACATTGATCACACGCGGTCACTGAGATTGTACACTTTATATGCTACAAATACACAGTTTGTGTTATGGTCAAACGCACAAAGTATGATCAAACTGAACACAAACCATAACAAACTCCAACATTTAAAGTCCAGGTTTTATTGATTTGGTGCTGAATCAAATTTTGTCAATAAAACAACTCACCTCTTTTCTTCGTGCACATCGATGGAAGTGTAGATTTCCGACAGCGCTGTGCACGATGGGGCGATAAAAGCGCGCTCGACCTAAGACGCATAAGCTTATTTCACGTCTCTCAGAGACAAGTGTGAAACAAACCGCCCGCGTTAAATTCAACTTCCTGGTTAAGTCCAGGCTAAAAACGAATCGACCAAATGTATTCAGTGTCTCCGGCTCGATGCAGGACAAATGACAGGGCCTCGTCAGCGAATGACTCCAGCCAGATGAGACGTGTGTCTCCGGCTGACGGTGCCTCCATGTCCTCTCCTGGGGCGGATCAGAGAAGTCAGCTGTGCGCACTGATGAGTCTGTCGATGACACACGTCCCGCTGGTGTTTCTTAGGGTTCAAATGTTATACATTTCATTACACTGGAAGACAAGTGTCCGGTTATTACCCAGTGCTACGGCCCAGCTACTGGTTAAATTAAACACACTATTCATCATTTACCATTAGCAGACTGAAAACTACTTACTAAGACAACAATGACAACATACATGGACGTTTCAGTGGTCTTTTATTTGCCAGAAAAAACATAAAGCGACCTAAAACCACCACAACATTTTTAAACAACTGATTATCATCATAGTGTGCACTTAATACTGTAGCTTAGTCCCTTCTCTCTCTCTCTCTCTCTCTCTCTCTCTCTCCCCCATCCAGCTTTAACTTTGCCAAGGGAACATTTTAGCACTGCATGTGATCACGATTTTCTCTTAGGAAAAACATATTCCATGACAAAAACAAAACGTGGTGTGGACTGTTTAAAACGTCAACATGGGAAAAAAACTAAAGTGTGCTCAGTGGAATTTCTCAGAGCATTTCCATGTAAACAAATAAAAGATAAATGAAATGAGAAGGGACCCAATAAAGAAACAATGCGCATGTGCTTTGCCGGTTGTGGTAAAGCCATACATTCACAGGGCAGCATCTCAGGTTCCAAACAATGTAGTCTGTCCCTCCTGTCAACCTGGAATGTGTTTCCTAGCCCTTGCCAGCCTCAGCCAGCCATCCGCTCTCTCCTCAGCAGTTCATCAATCACTCCACATCACCACACAAGTCCCAGGATCAGTGGAGCGTGGTGAAAATGCAACATGGTTCCAGGATTGAGAGGCTTCACATCTTTCTTTAGCTCTCGATATGTTCCTGTCGGGAGCAGTAAAACACGAGGGCCAGCAGTGAAATCAAGTGGAACACAATAAAACTGTTGTAACTGTCAGCATCATGGCATCACAGAGCCCATCAGCACAGAGCCAGTGCTTTCACATGTCACTGAATAAACTCATGCGCTCTCTTGTGCACATACAAAAACTATCACTGTTGCAGGCTCTTCTCCCAGCTTAAAGATACATCACTGAATGTCTAATCAGCTCTACACATTGTGGTGTTGCGTGTTGGCAAACAGCACGATGGGCTTCTAAATGGAGACAAAAATGTGGTTTCTGATGTTGCTACTGATACCAGCTGGCAGCTTCATGTGATCCAAACCACAAGAGTGTGTGTGTAGCCACCCTCACTGGATACATGAGGGATTTCCACTGCATTTTAGAAACTATTTCTACACTGTGACAGGTGACCTGTGGGGAATTATAACCACAGGTCCAGCTAAACGTCAGGCAATTAGTGTGGAATACAAAAAGATTATCCTAGTGCAGCTACTTAATGTATGTGTAATAAAGTCATATGCACTCCAGACACATAAAACAAGGGCCTCCTTTCAGTTTCCACAAACCATGCAAATAAATACAGTGAACTTGGCATTTTGAGGCACAATGAATACACAGCAGTCAAACAGCAGTGCAGTAATGCTGCTGGCTGAAACAGGACAAAAGTTCAAAAACTATTGTCTAACATAGCATCAGTATTAACACACAACGCAAGTCAACGGCAGAATGAATTCTTCACTGATGTGTGCATATTTTGTAACTTTGTGTAACTAAAGAAATTTAACGTAACGTTTGCTGAACAAATAGTTTTTTGTAAATATACTAATTTGCTTTCTTGCAGAGTTAAATTAGAAGACCAATACCACGTTCATGTCTGTATGGTATGAATCTAGAACCAGCAGCAGCTCACTTTAGCTTAGCATAAAGACAGGAATTAACAGAGCTATTCCTGTAACGAGACCATGTACTGAAACTAGAGCACACCTTTCCCAACATGACAGCGCTGGGTCAGAGGCTATTTTTCTCATGAGACCTCTCAGGCGATAAAAGGTTAAGGCTCTCTGATCTAAACAGAAATTGTCAATCAAAAACATTTTACCAGAAAATATAAGCAACTCACTCCTATGTTGGTTATGATGAACTGATGGGATGCACTGCACTGTATGCATCAAACGCAAATACTCACAGATCAGCGTTCAGAACTCCATCCACAGCTAATAAATATTAATCCACCTTTGTGAATCTGTTAGTGATAAGTTTTCATAAGAATGTGTTAGTGCTGCATAACAAAGCTGTAGTAGTGTTGTTGAACATAGCATATGTCTGTGCTTGAAACATTCCCACACAATCAGATGCTGCTGTGTGCAGCATCAGTCTGTCCCGATAACAAACAAGCCAGAAAGTCAGCAAGCAAAAAGGCTCCGGAACATGTTTGGAAACAGCTCCTCCAATCTTCAGCTTCAAAAACTGCAGTGAAAAGGCACATCCACACTGTCACTCTGGAGGATCGGCCCATTCAGAGAGTTCTTCTCCTGGTAGCCTACATCCAAACTCACACAGGCACTTTATCTGCTGAAACAGAGGCTCATGCGTCATACTGTAATGTCTGGAAGCTTTGGTGCAAAAAATGCTGTCGGTCTTCAGTCCTTTCAAACATGGACTTTTTATGAAAAAGTCTCCTCTTGTAAAGTAGCACACTTAAAGTCAGATTTGCCAGAATTGCCCTTTAAGAGATTGGAAACTTGGTTAAGAGTGAAGAGATATTTGCAAGGAAAAGCCAGGTAGAAGGCACTGAGACTAGGTTTCCTTTCCATACTGCTTCTTCAGATGGGAACTGAAGGAAAAGATGATTGCCAGGATTTCATTGCTGGTCACTTCACACTTGGTCCACTGTGTGTTCACTAGAGTCACTTCTCATGCTATACTAGTGTATAGTAAACATACAGTGAAGCGCTTGAGCATCAACTCTACACAAAGCGTCTCCTACGCTGTGCAGTGGAAGGATGGGGGCAGGAGTGTGTCCTGTGAGGCTCTGGTCTGTAGTGTTCCCAAGTACTGAGAGCCAACATGCAGTGTGACTGTCTGCTGCTGTGCTGTGGAGGGGGGGGCAGTGAGGTCTAACAGTTGACTGTGGTGCTGAAATGTTGTTGAGAGCTCAGGAGTGTTGGTGTGGCTCTGATTGTGCTGCAGGAGCAGCGTGAGTGAGACGGTGACATCAGGTCTCAAAGTACTTGTAGATGGCTGTGACATAAGACATGACACTTTGCCAGTCCGGCCTCTCCGTGTGCACCATCTCATTTATGTCCTGGAATGGAAAAAAACACAGCTAAACTAAACAAAATGATATCATTTCACTCTCTCTAACACATTCACTCATTCACTACCCCCTATATAATGTTCACCAAGTAGTTGACTCCATAGTAAACAGTAAACTGAGAATTCGGACACTAATCATCAACATTTTGCATCATAGCTAACAGCTGTAAACCACGCAATGGTAATTTCTCATCTGGTAATGATATTCACCTTTATTGGCCAAGTATGTTACACAAACAAGGAATTTGTCTCCAGTACAGAACCAAGGCAGCCATCTGCAACGCCAACTCACACACTCACACACACACACACACACACACACACACACATCAATGGCAGCGCTGTCCCTGCAGGGCCATCGGGGACATCTTGGTCTGCCTGTGTGTCTGACTTGCCCAAAAACACTGGGGAGAATGGAAATTGAACTGCCAACCTTTGGGTTAGGGTACAACCGCTCTACCTCCTGGGCCATAGCCAAAGGTAGTGTACATGGCATGTATGCCACTTTTTATGTACCACTGTGGAATTTTTGAGTGCACTATATAGCAGATAGATTTACATACAGCATTCAGACACCACTACAACATGGAGAACACTATATAGTGTGTAGAGAGTGATTCCGGACATAGCCACCGTTTACAATCAAGAAAAACAGCATGAGGGAAAGAAGAAATGAGAGTCAGACATGATGTCTTTCAAAAAGAAACACCACTTACAGTACTCGTTTCTGTACACGGCCCTCAGAATACATGTAATGTCCAAATTAAGGCATTACAAAATTTGATCCAAGGTGGTGTCTGGATATAAAGTGTATTCTTTCTTCACACCTATTATGATTAATATAAATAAGTACATTTGTAGTGAGAGTCAACTTACCAAAGTACACTTGATGCCCACACTCTCTGCAGCCTGGAAAGCTAATGTGAAGTTTCTCCTCTGAGCAAAGGAAAACAAAATCAAAGTGTCACACAGTGAAACAGTCTCTCTAGCAACAGTAAGGATAAAAGTGTTGTTAACAATTAAAAGTGTGCGGTCCTCCTCTGATCTCTCCTTGCCTTCTCCTGGCTGGTGAGCTCCTGGTAGGGGATGTGTGCAGGCAGGTAGGTGTGCAGCACAGCACAGAAGGCCAGGCCATCATTCCAGCTGCTGCTGAAGTTTGTGATATCGATGTTCTGAAAAACACAGCGATGATCCATTTACACTTTTATTTCAATCTGACACAACATTTATAGTTCAGGGGATGAAAAACCGATTTCTGGGCCTGATGCAGTGTACAACATTTTGTCCCTGGCATCACTGCCAGCTACAGCAATGTCAGTATTATTGTCACAATAAATTCAGGAGGCATTTAAAAAGATTTAACTGTGGAGAACAGCAGCTCAATCTGACAGTGCTTAGATTTTATATAACTTATCAGTATGACTCATCTCTCTCATTTATCATCCTTTCCACCATCGAGTGTCCTCTGAGCTTTAAAACCAAAGATATACAGCCCCCTGCAAACACACGCTGCGGTTAAATGTAACTAGATGCTTAAGTGTCCTCAGTATCATAACCACAATACTGATAGCAGGCAATGCTTTAGAGACGACCTCACGTTTTTGTCAGGTATGTGTCTCACAGGATGTGTTAAATGTAGCACACTTCCTGGAGATAACCTAAGGTGCCATGGTAACCAAAACCTATATCATATTACTTAAAAGGGGTAAATATCACTTCAACATGTTAAGAGACTCTAGACACACCTGGGGATTGTCATTTAAGTCATTTCTAGGTAAATGCTTAGGCGTTTGCCTTTGCATATGTTTAAACAGGCATTCTTCGATTTTGAGTCGACTGCACTGCAGTCAAGAAACAGGACCTGCAAAGAGAGGAGCCAACGTGACATTACACATCTGTAACACCACCATTACACTAGACTGAAATGGAAGGCACAACAGACCAGAAAACGTGTCTAAAGACAGATGGTTATAATCCTAAAGATTTTCATGACAACACTGATTTTAATACTGTTTATGGTTAGCATTTTTTCTGCAATAGACCTTTAATGTATATACACTGTACATTACGTTTGTACTTATCACTCCATATGTTGGTGGCAGGGCCCGAAATCCTGGTGCTGGATTCTAATTGCATACATACACACACACACACACACAAGAGACTCTCAGACGTGGTGTAATTCATCTACACTGTTTCTAATTTGATCTCATTGATATCAGCCTCAGTGTTTACTGTTCACTCTCATGTCACTGTGTCAGAGCTATATGAAGTCACTGCTAGTGCAAGCCCAACATTTCTCACTGTTTCTACTTCAATCAACTGGCATCTGCAGTAATTATATCTGCAGAACAAGACAGCAGTCATGAAATCAGGTGATGTTGCTCATACAGTGAGGAACAGAAGTATTTGAACACCCTGCGATTTTGCAAGTTCTCCCACTTAGAAATCATGGAGGGGTCTGAAATTCACATTGTAGGTGCATTCCCACTCTGAGAGACAGAATTT